TTGGAAAGCTATTGAAGGTCTACCACAGACGTAAAACTTGTAGTTTTAACAACAGGCAATGAGTGACACAATACTAATTTTAAAGTGATTAGAAATCTCAGTGGTTCTATCGAGACCTCTTTCTGACGTACTGGAGAAATGAGATGGTGTGGTTATTCAACACAGCTTCCTCATTGATATTACTCAGACTTTCCTTCTATGAATCATAAGGGAAATACTCTGAATCATACACTAGTTCAACTCAGAGTTTAAATTACTTTTTAAGTCTACATCTGAGGACAAAAAGCAATGACTTTGAAGCTGGGAACTACCATAAACTTTTTACTCAGATTACAAAATGTGTTATTGAATTGTTTGACAAAACAAAAGATAGCTCAGGCCCTTGTACGCTCATGGATTTTATTCTTTTCTTTTTTGATGGTGGGGCTTGAACTCATGTCCTGGGTGCTGTACCTGAACTTTTCTGCTCAAGGCTAGAGCTCTACCACTTTGAGTCACAGCTTCCAAGTTTTTGGGTGGTTAATTGGAGATAGGAATCTCGATAGACTTTCCTGCACAGGCTGGCTTTGAACCATAATCCTCAGAGCTCAGCCTTCTGAGTAGTTAGGATTAGAGGTGTGAGCCACCAACACCTGGCCCAGTAGACATTTTCTGCTCACAGTTGTTGCTCTTTCACTTGAGCCATACTTCCCGTTCCTCTCCTGTAACGATTTAGCTCATGCACAATTGACATTATTGTAAAGAGGCGAAATTAGTCAATTGTTCCTGTTTTAGACACTGATTTGCAATGCCATTCTTATAATTATACGCTAGAATTTTTATGTTTATTTAGTTCCATTTGTAGGCTGTGTTCATTATAACTAGTTTAACAGTGTTTGCTCCAGCTATCTATTTCATCTGTTATTATTTTTATAGTACATTTTACTGTTCAGTAAGACAAATCCCTTTGATTAGTTTTTTTCTTTCAGATTTTCTTGGATCCTGTCTGGAAGGCAATCTCCATTTATCTAATTGAATAGTCTACTGGTTTTCCAGATTGTGTCTTATCACCAAGATGAACTTGCTTGCTTTTCAAAGAATTAGAAAACACGAAACACTCTTACCATCACAACTTCTCTCGGATGCAGGAGAAAACGTTGGATACTGTGAGAAGAAGAGAAGCCTGAGAGCCTAGCAGCAGTGCTTGGGCACGGTGCTTCTGTTTTGCTTACAGGGTGGTCTTAACCTTCGCGGCTCCAGAGCCCTCAGCCTCCAGAGTGAGATTACAGGCACACACTACCAACGCTCAGCTTTGATACAGTGTTTGTTAGAGGCTTCTTATGTGGGTATGTCAGTCACAGTTGCTCAAGGTGTCTTCTAAGTCCACAGGGTCTGCTGAAATCCTCCCTTCTTGTAAACAATAAAGAACACTTTATGGAGAGTGCAAATAGTAGAATTCTTTAGACTTAGTCAAAACCCAAGAAAGTAAGTACCAGGAAATGGGTACTTGCAGAGAGGGAAAGGGTCAAGGGGAGAAGGGGAGAAGAATGAATGGGCGAAACAAGTAAACTGCAGGCATTGTATATGTCACAGAACTGAGAAAAAAAGGGAAGGGGTAGGTAGAAGAGGGGGCGAAGATGTTGAAGCGAAGACACAATCAAGGTGCATTGTCTACACAAATTGCTTTGTTAAATGGCAAAAAGTCAATACATAACTTAAAAATTAAGAACAGTTAAGGGAAGGGGTGGGTTGGGAGAGTTGAGTGAGAGCCTTAAAAGAGGTGACATTGAGCCGGGCGCTGGTGGCTCACGCCTGTAATCCTAGCTACTCAGGAGGCTGAGATCTGAGGATCGCGGTTCAAAGCCAGCCTTGGCAGGAGAGACCGTGAGACTCCTATCTCCAATAAACCACCAGAAAACCGGAAGTGGCGCTGTAGCTCAAGTGGTAGAGCGCTCGCCTTGAGCTGAAGAGCTGAGGGACAGTGAGTGCCCAGGCCCAGAGTTCAAGCCCCATGACCGACCAAAAAAAAAAAAGGGGGTGACATTGATCAAGAAGCACAATATTCATGACTTGCACTGTGTGTTGTACAAACTCCTTTGTACATCTACTTAAAGAAAAGACAAATGTAAAAAAACAACAACAAAAGAACACAGACTCTGGAAGAAAATGGCATTACTTCTATTCCCCTTCCCCCAACCTAAACACCTTGATTCATGTATTAGTAAATTTGTTGCAGTGAAATAACATTATGAATGTGAATCCATTTGGGATGCCCTCTGAGTCCTCTCTCCATTAGGGGTATCTCTATATAGACATAATATCTATAATTTCTCTATATCTATATATTAATATAGAGATATATCTTTACACAATTAGACTTGTATATACATATTTATTCTCCATGGTATCAAGGACACCATGTTGGAAAATGTTCTAAATCATTAATATTTAAAAACTGGGGATTTCACATTGAAATACATGGGGGTAGTCAACTAGCTACCTCGTTTCCAATCACAACTGTCCTTCTCTCGTTTTATCACAGCCCATGCTGCTCTCCTATTGCTCTCTTTTGGTTCTCATTCATAATGCAGAACAGTTTGAGTTTGTAACCCATGCAGCCATCTTCTTCATAGCTCAGCTCTCAGATGATATCAAAGATTGAGGGACTGAGTCTGTATCTAGTTTATGACTCAAAAGAGTTCTCAGGTCTTGAAGAACGTGAATGGAAAGTAGTGCCATATAGCAGAGACAAAATGTATTCCTTTTATTTTATTTATTTATTTATTTATTTATTTATTTATTTTTTTTTTTGCCAGTCGTGGGGCCCGAACTCTGGGCCTGGGCACTGTCCCTCAGCTCTTCAGCTCAAGGCTAGCGCTCTACCACTTGAGCCAC